CGCATTACCGTTATTAATAAAGCATCTATACTTAGGTAGGTATGTAGGTACAATATTTTGCCAAATCTAGGAATCCTATATTATACCATCATTATTCCCCAATATTGTACCAATAACTTCTCAACAATATTGTTTCGATATCGTGCTGGAATGAGACAACTGAGAAAATCATCGATAATGGAACACATTGTATATACCTACCCCGAGATCAAGGTACCTATTGAAGTTTCATCATCTAACAATACTCATATGTTTCGAAAATCGCATTACCGTTATCAATAGAGCATCTTCTATACTTAGGTATGTAGGTACAATATTTTGCCAAATCTAGGGATCCTATATTATACCATCATTATTCTCCAATATTGTACCAATAACTTCTCAACAATATTGTTTCGATATCGTGCTGAAATGAGACAACTGAGAAAATCATCGACAATGGAACACATTGTTTATACCTACCCCGAGATCTAGGTACCTATTGAAGTTTCATCATCTAACAATACTCATTATGTTTCGAAAATCGCATTATCGTTATTAATAAAGCATCTTCAATACTTAGGTATGTAGGTACAATATTTTGCCAAATCTAGGGATCCTATATTATTCCATCATTATTTCCCAATATTGTACCAATAACTTCTCAACAATATTGTTTCGATATCGTGCTGAAATGAGTAGGTACACATTGTGTGTGCTGCTGGATAACTTATGGCGAACACTGATGTGTACGTAACAAGAAAGTATCTACGATTTCACTTAGGTACATGGACTTTAGTACTCGAATGATATCAATAGGTTAACTTATACTTGTTACATAGTAAGTAGGTAAAAACATTTTCCTGACTGAACTACCAAACTGCACGAGGGCATCGAGGGGTCGAAAAAATTTTTGGATTTTGCAGCATCAGCACATGGTATGGCAAGAAAGAACATAATCAAAATTGTATAAAAGTTGAACTAGTATCAATAATTGGGATAAGTAATTTTACCTTATTATTTTTTGCACCACTGTTATAATATACCACTCGCGATCCACGCCACACGCTTGAAGACTCTATGAGACAACTGAAAGAACTGAGCTAGTGAGTGTCGAGCAAAGATAGTCACTCTATGACCTGAGGTATTTGCCCGACAGTGTTGTCGGGTGTACTAGTAGACACGTTATACTAGAATCATACATTTCTTGTTCAGACAAGAATATCAGAATAATGTGAAAAAACTGAAATGCCTACCTAGGTGTATCTTGAATTGAAATTCCACAATAAATGAAATCATTTGTTTGATGTAATATTTGTGCACAAGTTCAGAATTCCCAAGTGATATGGAGGAAGAAACACAAAATGCACTATTTTCTTATTCATCCATTCATAATTTCGTTTCATTTCATAACTCGTGTTGAAATGAACATTTTATCACCAATTATGTATTATTCCACTTTGCGCATTTGTTTATACAGTGTGTCCCACTTACCATGCTCACGATGGGTATCTTTTTACCGGTGAGAGATACGAGGTCGGTTAAATTACACCAAATGTGGAGTTTGTCAAGGCCAACTATAATGTGAAAAAATATTTTGATAAAATCTATTCGTTTTTGTTTTATACGCAAAAAACAAATTTTGATCATTTTCATGTCTCCTCCGTAACTTCTTCATTTATGAAAATATTCAGATAGGAATTTCACATTCTCATGGGAGTTTTTCGAAGTGAATTCGAAAAAAATATGATAACTCTTCTAGAATTTGAGATATCAGCACCAACTTTAGTTGTTCAAATGAAGCTCATAGCTCACTATGACTTAGTTACAAATAACTTTTTTTCCTCTTACAGATGACATGTCGCAGTTATAGTTTTGTGTTGATAACAACGGAGTTATCGTCATTTATACAAAAACATAAACTTATTTGGAAGCCGCCATCGTGAATTTACAAATTTTAACAAAAATATCATGATCGTCGACCTCAAAAACCCCCATTTACCAATTTTGAATGGAATGGGACCAAATCTTGTCCGCCATCTTGGAGCAGCCATTTTTGTAGAATTATTTCTATTTCCATTTACTAATCAATGCATATTGTTACATATACATACAAAGCGTATGGTCAAATTTAGACGTTCGTTCAGAACTACGCAAAAAATAATCGCATCGAATACAATTCGAACTTCGAAATCTTCATGATTATGCATCTTGAACTTTCTGCACAATTACAAATAATCGTGTCCGTTCAACATAATAATCCTTCGTGATCTGATTATTTCAACTGTTAAACTGATACTCTTCGTAATTATATGCAACAAAAGTTATCGATGTTTAGCCCTAATCTTTTGAAGTACTTATAGTATTATAGTATTACTACTGAAAATACTAGATTCAGTGACAAAACCAAGATGGCAACTGTGGTGACTAGTCTTGTCGTTCACGGTAACACTCGAACGTGCGCGAGAAAGCTCTAATATCGAGAATTCATCATTGAATTGATATTAGGTGTTTGATATGGTACACATATATGAAATCTAGAAGGTGACTTCACTATATTGAACCTGATGTGTGCTAGCAATATTGAACTAATCTTCATTTCTCAATATTGCTCCATTTTCATCATGTTGATAGTATCTAGAGATTACGTCTCAATATTATATCAATATAACTGACTGAACTCAAGATGGATAATATCGCTTGCACATTGTGATGACAACATCGAATTGATATTGGGATCTGATTATGGTACAAATATATGGAATCAGGAAGTTGGTTCCACAATATTGAACACTGTGATTATTTGCAATATGAAATTCATATTCATTTATAAAGATTGCTCTATTATCATCTTGATGATAGTTTCAAGAGATCACAGCACAATATTGTATACATAAAGTTGACTGGAATAAGCATTAGAAATATTGCTCTGATATTGAGATTGTATCATTGATTTTACACTGAGTTTTTGATGTGGTACACATTAATGGAATCAAGAAGTTGAACTCACGATATTGAACCTAATGATTATTTGCAATATAGAATTATATTCATTTCTCAATATTATCCCTTTATCATCCTGTTGATAGTATCAAGTGATTACACCTCAATATTATATCAATATAACTGACTGAACTCAAGATGGATAATATTGCTTGCACATTGTGATGACAACATCGAAATAGTATTGGGATCTGATTATGGTACAAATATATTGAATCAGGAAGTTGGATTCACAATATTCAACACAATGATTATTTGCAATATGATGATCATATTCATTCAACAATATTGCTCTTTCATCATCTTGATGATAGTTGCAAGAGATTAGAACACAATATTGTATACATAAAGTTTACTGAAATATGCATAGGTAATATTGTTATAATATTGAGATTTCATCATTGAATTGACCTTGGGTTTTTGATATGGTCAACATGAATGGAAACAAAAAGTAAACCTCACGATATTGATCCTAATAGTTATTTCCAATATCGAATTATCTTCATTTCTATTTATGGATGATATTATTGCTTGCACATTGTGATCACAGCATCGAATAAATATTGGGATCTGGTTATGGTACAAATATATGGAATCAGGAAGTCGGTTTCACAATATTGAACATAATGATATCCCGCAATATCTAAATCATCTGCATTTCTCAATATTGCTGCAACCTCATCCTGATGAAATCCACTAGAACAATATCGCTGGGATATTGGGATTTGATCATTGAATCCATATAGAGTTTGTGATATGGTACACATATATGGAATAAATTGATCGACCTCACGATATCCAACGTGATGATTCTTTGCAATATCGAGGTCATCTCCATTTCCCAATATTGCTTCATTATCAAACAGATGATGGTGTCATAAGAATACAACTCTTTATTGTATACATATAATTTACCAATATCCACACAAACAATATTGGTGGAATATTGGGATGTCATCATTGAATAGCAGTTTTGTATTCGATATGGAATACATATATGAAATCAAGAAGTCCACGTGACGATATTGAACCTGATGTTTTATTGCAATATCCTCCAAGATACATTCTATCGATATAGGTTACATATCCAGTTGTAATATGAACTGATATCAGGCAATCAATATATCTATCATGAAGATTTATCAATATCGAGACATAAATCATCAGGATATAGGAGAAATATAGATTTCATCACATATGTCATTATGAATATCGATACAATGTAGGATTCTCAAGATCCTGAAAAATGTTAGCCTATCAACATTGTATTCATATTGATCCGTCCAGCTCATTTATTCAATATCGTTACAATATCATCCGACCGATTTACGATATTCAAATATTGGGCCAATGCAGAGCCGATTTGCAGCCGATATTCTGTGCTACTGGGGGAGGAATACTGTAGGATTTAGGTGTTCGATAGTTGTCCCACGGACATTCCTCAAGGACGTTCCTAGTTGGTCCACAAGTGGGACATGTGTGCGTCCCACAGACGTCCAATGAACGTCCACGGTACTAAATTCGAACGTCCTGAATGTCCCGACAGGACGTCCTAAGGATATCCATGGGACATAATTGTGTTATTAGGGAATGTATTATGATTTGGATCGAGAGATATTCCGCCTGAAGCACAGTTCCAAGACATGCTATCGTTGATTGAATCATATATATATCATGGGACCAAAGGTTCATTTTCCCCCATGTATATTTGATGCCCTTCGCTACGCGTCGTGCAACAAACTTCACACGCGGGAAGAAATTGATACCTTTCCTCCCTCGATATATGAATAGCAATAGCTATTATTCCTTATTTATTCTGATGAATATAAGTTCCCCATGTTTGATGCGGTCCTATGAGGGTGATCATTATCTCGAAAACGATAGTTACATATTATTGGAATACATGGTCATTGACCACACATTTGATATCTTATGTGGGGAAGTATGAAGAAGTATAGGAAGTGACGGGGAAGTACAGGAACTACGAAGAAAGTATACGGGAAGTATCAAGGAGGTGCATGGAGTATGAGGTAGTATACGATTGAAAGCAAGTAGTGTACATCATCTGGGTCAACTGTTCACGCCTCGTCTATATCAGGAAGTATTCTGAATACTACTGATCATCTCCGCAAGATCTTTTCTAGGCTTATTCTGGATTCGACTGTCTGAAATGTTCGCATACATAAATATTATTGCTATTCTGTACATTAAAATTTGAGAAATTGTCTCCTATTCCTGTTTTTTTCAGTTTTTTTCTGGAAAACGGTGTTCAATCAAGTTTAAACAAATTTGCTTCTTTTTTAAAATGTAATGGCAATACATAGATTTCTGGAAAATTGTTTCTTCATTGCTGACATTCCATTTTGAAGAAACCAAATCCATCTTGCTAACGGCACCACTTAAAATCTGTTAAGCCGAACATGATGACTGATATTTGATTTTTTTTTAATTTCTTGTGAAGCGCACGGAAGGGAATTATAATGTTCTGAGAACATCGTGCGTTCCCAGGGAGGATAGGATCATCAGTTCTTGAGAATACTTTCGTTTTGGCCAAGAATTCTAAAGCTTTGCTGTTCTTTCATTCTCGTCAAGATGGTTTAAATTCTTCATGGACATCATATGGGTCTAATTCCCCAATTGATAGTGTGAGAGTCCCCTGACTCCAAGGCATACCTACTAAACGCCCCACGTCCTTTGAAGGCTCGTCTGACCAATGTCTCCGACGTAACATAGGCCTAGTTACCCATTGTATCTCACCTACATGCCGTTACCACTTCCACCACAAACGACTCATGGTGCTTGTTGGGGGCCACTTCAATATGAATGATATTCTTCCTCTAGTTCTTGAAGATTTCTCTTTCGATCCCTCACTGAGAGAAAGTGTGCTGTCAGAGTTTTTGCTAAGATATTTCTTGCTACCATTATAAGGAATCATATTACCGTTATACATTCTCGAATAGAAGCAGCACCTTGGAATCCTATGATAGCAATAACGACTTTTCTGATAGTGAATTTTCTGCCACAAAAAGGCATACTGCTGTCGCAATCAGGCAGCCACTCTGGGACAGGATGATTTCTTTTATAGTTGTCTAGCTAAACTACTAGTTTTGAGATATATGCTTGTGGCTGCGAGATTCATCGCATAGAACTGAACTCACTACCAATGATACAACTGTCAGTCTGCCACGAAAATAATATTTGACGAACCTACTTGGGGTTATTCAGCGCCTACGTATCGTTATTCGATATTTTGTTGATTTGTCTTCTTCTATGTGTGCATTTGTCAGACAATTTGCTTGATCAATCATTCATAGTTGAGCTTTGGATGCAAACTCATGTACAGGAGGACAATCTCGACGACACGACAGTTACGGATACTTCTCCTCTTCATTATTCAAAATCTGGATCTGGATTCAAATATAATATGGAAACATCATCAAACATGAACAAGCAACAACAAAAAATCTCCTGTGTCCCTTTCAGTGCTTTCGTAGATCTGAGTGCTCCAGTTATTACCAGGATTGATGGAATGATAGAGACGAGTTTTTTCGAGGTATTTCGACTGAAATTCAAATAACTCACATTCAACATTTCCTTCTTTTCGGCATAAAACTTCTGAATTGTCGAATATGTTTTATGGCTTCTCTATCGAATGTGGTCTGATAACTCATTGTGAGCAAATAAGTCCAGGTTATGAAATTATTTGAATGATTTTACTGGTTACATTTCGTTTTCCTGTACGCATCTGTAATAACTCGCCTAGTTGTTGAAATACAATGGTTCCAGAGAGTATCAGGATTTTTTTTTTCATCAAATACTCAAAAACCTTCTGTTTTTCCTGAGAGTGCATGAATCAATTGATCTATTGAATTTCAAAGATCATTGGTCCGAAATGTTCTAAAGGAATCAATACATTGCTATTCACACCTAACATCAGGGTGGAAATTATGGAAAGTGAAATTGGATCAGACAAAATTTCACCTTTCTTGATGACAATAAGAATCCTGGAAAATAACTGAATAACTACAATGAGAAGATCTGCAACTATCTATATGATCACCCATCAAGAGTAGCAAAGTTCCTACCTACGATTATAACATTGCCCAACTCCCATTATTATATGCACCGAGAGAAATATCTATTATCTGTTATACGAAATTGTACAAACATTAAAAGATTTTCGAATTGAATAGGCGCCAGCATAGTTCCCATTTCACTGTTATGACGTTCATCATTTCATAAAAATCATATAACTGTGAAATACCACTTATATGAGAATGAAATGACACTCATATAGGGGTCAAATGATGACGACGACGATGATATTATAAAATTGAGAAGATACTCCTATAAATTTGACTTGTTTTCAATTTGATAGTCAAATAAAAAGCATTTCAATATTGAATAGTGATATTATAAAATTAAATAATACTCATATTAATATTATTTGCTTTCAATTTCATAGTCAAATGATTACATGGTATTTCAGTATAAGGATGATTAATTTTTCTCCAGAAAAATTAAGTGGGTTGAAACTCTTCAAAAAATATTGAAGACATATATACTTGGTTTCTATACTTATCCCCAAGTAAAGTTTTTTTGAGGAACTACAGGGCATTGAAGTGCATCACAAGGACGATATACTCAGTTTACAATATCTCAGTTTGTGTAGGACAAAAATGCTACCAATTTGGACTATTTGTTCTCATTGTCAGTGCATTGGATTATTATCTACTCGATAATCTAACATAGTGGCCAAAAATGTGACTACACAGTATCGTCAGTAAATTAGTGTTGACATTCGCAGATTTCGTTTCATTTTATTTACCGTTATTGCCACTTGAGCTTTACAACGTTTACGTTTTCGAGATACCCATAATAGTAATCATTAATCTTGGACACAATGTATACGCAATACAATCTATCATCGATAAAACTGTTCAAATCCAAGCTTTTGCCACTTAGTGAATAGTGAGGTGAGTTAAAAGAATCAAAGTTTTTCCAATTTGGAAGACATTCCGATACATACACTTACCGATATATCGTGAAAACACTATAACGCCTAGAGGCAGTTCAACATTCTGTAGTCTGTATTAACAAATATATCCCTAATATTTCTAGAAGATCTCTCAATCACTTCACTTTTTCGAAAGAAAAATATCACTCTGCAAGAAGAGTTCACGAGCTGCCGCAAGCTAATATGTCCTTTCATATCAGGAATCCGGAGACGACTAACGATTCTCATAGAACAAGTGTTCATAGGTGAGTAGGATGACTCATTGAGGTAAACGAGTATGACAAAGATGTAAAATGATAGAAGGAATAGAATTGAATGATAATTGTATAACTGTGAAATGACATCTTTTAGGATTCAAATGATTATCTTCAAATTCCCCTGTATAACTGGACTTTTCTAGGTGTGCACTCACTAACGGTAGCAAAGTCAGATACCTACTACAGAAACATTGGCTAATAGCAATATGCAGATGCACTCGCTAGTAGCAGCAAGATTCTATATCTAATAATAGCAAGTGGGATATAATCATCAAAGTCGACTTCATAATCACAGATGATAACTCGCTTGTCCCCTATGCTATTAGAGTTCCTTGATGGTGTTTTTTGATTTCTGACTATGGTTGATAGGAATTTTCCTCAGTGCTGTTCTCGTCTACAAAGAAGGACAAAAGTTTTCCTTTCCCTATGAGTGACGGGGATAAGGGTTGGTCCAGCCCTATGGAGGCCCCGTTAGCGACACCACACCTCGGTACCATTCATTCATCGCCCCGGGTTTCCACAGCTTGTATTAGGTTTCCACACTGAGGAAAATTGTGCTATCAGAGTTCTTGCTGAGATATTTCTCGCTACCATTACAAGGAATCATATTACCGTCATACATTTTCGAATAGGAGCAGCAGCTTGAAATCCTATGATAGCAATAACGTTTTTGCTGAAATTGAATTTCCTGCCACAGAAAGGTATACTGCTGTCGCTATCAGGCAGTCACTCTGGGACAGCATGATTTTTTTGAATAATTGTCTAGCTGAACTATGCTTGTGGCTGCGAGGTTCATCGCATAGAACTGCACTCACTTCCAATGATTCAACTGTCAGTCTGCCACGGAAATAATATTTGACGAACCAACTTGGGGTTGGTTAGCGCCTACTAATCATTATCCGATATTTCTCTTATTTGTCCCCCTTCATGTAAACATTTGTCAGACATCATGCTTGATCAATCATTCACAGTTGGGCTCTTGATGCAAACCCATGTTCAGGACGACAATCTCGACGACACGACAGTTATGAATACTTTCCCTCTTGGATTCAATTCATTATTCAAAATCTGAATCTGAATTCAAATATAAAATGAAAAAATTCTCAAACAAATAAAAAAATCTTCTGTGCCCCTTTCAGTGGTTTCGTAGATCTGAGTGCTTCAGTTATTATACCAGGATTGATGGAATGATGAAGGTAAGGTTTTTAGAGGTATTTCGTCTGAAACTCAAATATTTTACATTCAATAACATTTTCCTCTCTTTGGAATCATGAAACTTTGAAATGGTCAAATATGTTTCAGAGCTTCTCTATGGAATCTGGTCTGAATACTTATTGTGAGCAAAAATGTCCAGGTGATGAAATTATTTGAATGATTCTACTGGTAACATTTTGTTTTCCTGTACGCATCTGTAATAACTTGCCTAGTTTTCGATATACAATGGTTTCAGAAGGTTTCAGAAAAATTCTTTTTTCCATCAGTAACTCAAAAAACCCTTTGGTTTGTCCTGAAGGTGCATGAATCAATTAATCCATTGAATTTCAAAGATCATTGGTCCGAAATTTTCTTTAGGAATCAATAAATTGCTATTCATACCAAACATCAGGGTGGAAATTATGGGAAGTGGAAGTGGATATCAGTCAAAATTTCACCTTTCTTGAAGACAACAATCCTGGAAAATAACTGAATAACTATACAGTAAGAAGGTCATGCAACTATCTATATGTTCACCCATCAAGAGTAGCAGAGTTCCCCA